TAATTTTTCCCCCTTAATTTTTATTTAATGAAAGAGATAACATACATACTGTCCATCCAACTTTGAAAGTTAGAGGAAGGAAAACTATAAGTGAGTAATAACAGAAGAAAATGGTAAACTAGAAAATGGTAGAATTAATAACTGCGAGAATGGTTTATAAAAAATTATGAAGTAGAAAAATTGAGGAGCACTATTACCCACAAAAATAACAGGGCCAGAGTTAGCCTCAGAAAACAGTACATGTATTCCAGTCTGTTCTGTTGCTAATAAGAGAGTTACTGAGTCTGAGTAATTTATAAAAATAGAAATTTATGGGCCAGCAGGTGACGTGGTGGTTAAGGCTGTTCATGTGGATGACCACTGTTTGAATCCCAGACCTGGTGGCTTGCTTTCTCTTTTTCTCTGTGCACGTGCCCTGTAGCTAATTAAAAATAATAATAATGATAAATAAGAATTAAATATATAATTCTTTAAAAAACTAGAAATGCATTCAATTAATGATTTAGAGGTTCAAGGTCCCAGAGCTGAATGTAGTGAGGGTCTTTTTGCCCAGAGAGAAAAAACATGGTGAAAGGGACTGGCAGGTGGTGTGGTGGTTAAGGTGCTGCACTCCCACATGGCCAACCACAGTTGAAGTCCTGGACCCAGGGGCTTGCTTTCTCACTTTCCCTCTCTCTCTCCTTTTTTCTCTTTCTTGTCATATTTAAACAAACAAACAAACCAACAAACCACGGTGAAGGGCAGGAGCTTGAGCAGGTATGTCTGTCTCATTCTTTCTTTTTATAAGTCTACCAGGACTTGGGACCAGCAGTTGGCATGATGTCTATGTCGCTGGACTCCCATGTAATCGACCATGGTTCACGTGCTGGTTCAGCGTGGCTTAAACTCACGCTGGGTGTGTGTGCGTGCGTGCCCAAGATCCCGAGAGGAGAATGGAGGAAAAGGGGTTGTGGTGTGGCCATCCCCCCTGGGGATGATTTCTCACTTTCTGTCTCTCTGTCTTTGTGGCGAGCGCATGCACCTTGTAGCAAAAAACCTCTCCAATCAAGTAATCAATCAGTCAATCAATAAATAAACAAACACACAAACAAACAAACCCACCAGGACTCAATCATGGGGACCCCACCCTGATGCCTAATCACTTCTCAAAGACACCACCTTCAACACTGTATTCAGATTAAGTCTCTTCTTAATTATCTTTACAACACACCCAAATTCTAACAGATGAATTTTGGAAGCCCGTATTATAACATAGCCATATTTTTTAAAATGAGGATTTTTATAAATTAGAATTCTGTACCCAGTTATGTAAATCTCAGTGTCATGGTGCTGTATGGCTGTGTAGCATTTTATTTTATGTTTTGTTTTCAAATATGATCCTTATTTCCTTTTATTTTAGTTATCTAGTAGTTCTTTCTACTCTGAAAAATACCTGGGTGTTTTCATTCAGTTTTGATTTTAGCATAAAATTTTGTTATACTTTTATGTGTACATGTGGTATCAAATAAACACACATTTTGTAATAAGTCCTAATGATCTTAATGTAAAGACTTAAGAGAATAGATGTTTGTGTTGCAAAACTTTGGAGAGAGTAAGTCCATTAGCTTTCTTCCCTAATTAGGTTTTATAAGAAAACAGTGATTACTGGGACCAGCAGATTTGCAAATGTTACGTTGCTGGACTCCCACATAGTTGACCGTGGGATTGGTTTGAGTCCCGGACCTGATGGCTCATACCGGGCACCTGTGCTTGTGTGCCAACGATCCTAAGAGGATAGAGAAGAAAGGATTGTGACATGGCCATGCCCTCTGGGGGGTGATTTCTCACTTTCTGTCTTTCCATCTCTCTGACGAGTACATGCTCTCTATAGCAAAAATCTTTTTTTTTTTATTTTATTATCATCATAATCTTCTTTCTATTACACTAGATTACATATAACTTTACATTGACTTCCATTGCTTTTTCAAAAGGGAATGCCATGCATGTCAGTCAATACAGAGATATCAATCTCCCTGTTTTATCATTCAATATCTTTTCCATGCTTTTCCCAATAATTATTATTATAATTTTTTTAAACAGTCAATCACTATTTCTCATTTTGCTTATTAAAAAGACTTCACCCATCATGAAATACTTTCCAGACCGGTTCAGTTGAGAATACTATACATGTCATCATCAACAGGTAATAAACCATATCTATTTCTCATTAACATCCTGCCTCTCTATTGTTCACTGCTGTCTTTATCCTCTTCTCCCTCCTTTTTTTTTTTTTTATACTTTGTTTTTTATTATAAATTTTTTCTCATCACAACACACATATGAATTTTCCATCCAAAATACACTGTGCATTGGCTCAATCAAGCACATCAACATATATGTTCTCAGCAAATGATTTCCCAATTTTTGTGTCCTGCATACCTTGCCTTTTGTTTTGCCATCCTAGGTTCCCCATCCCCACCCTCTGCCATGTCCCATCTTCCTCCTCCATTGTCCCTGACATTCATGATTGCCCTCAATGGCTTCCGCCCCCCCCCATTCAATTGTTCTACCAATGAACTCAATTAGTCTAAGTATATCCACTAGCTAGCACAGCTGACATATCCTTACACATGTATCCAAATCTGATCCTAGGCATAAACCCCAGGGAGTAGAATGAACATATTATAAAGTAGACCCCAGTTGTGTCCATACAACTCTCTTCAGTCATCAAATGTGCATTTTTTTTTCCTCCTGCTTATTACTTTTTTTATATTAAATTATATTGCCTAACACTCATTCCCTGAGTATCATCACAACACACCAAGTGTAGTTTCCCATCTAGGATAAACTACATAGTGTCTTAATCAAGCATGTCGTCACCAATACTGTTCCATTTCTACTTTCATACATATAAATATGTTTTTTATCCTATGTTTGACCCTCAGCCCTTTCCCCCTCTCCCAATTACTCTATCTCTGCTATAGACAGCTATCCTCCAGAGGGGTCATTGAAAATGCGATACCTGCGAGTAGAGGGAGAGGGGTCACGAGTCCAAAGTTTTTAACAATAGGGAAAATAGATTCCATTCAAGGTTGGATCAAGTGTGGGTCTCGTGCAGTTCCGCAACTGTAGGTGAGTCTCCATGGAATACAGTTTCAGGAAGGCGATTCTGGCAAGCAGAGTTGACCATCAGTTGATGCGGCACAGCAGCCATCTTGTGGTTAGCAG